TTTTCTGCAAAGTCGTGGATGCCCTTCAGGCCAGTTTATGAAGACACTGGAAAAGGATCTTCCTGAACTAGCAAATATTTAGCCATCTTCTGGCTTCTAACATAAGATATTATGATAATATACTAATGAATATGCAATGGAAATATAATTTGTTTGAAAATATCACAAAATCATTTTCATCAAAGTGAAATTATTGAGTCAACTTGAAAACAAAATGGTCAACTTCTCCATTTAAGCTTCTACGTGTGGTATTTATGTCTTCCCCATTTCTGGGAGAAGAAATCCCCACAGAACCCCCCTGTGTTTATTACCTACAGTATCTTACGTCAGTGAGTTACCAGAGCTTTTCATAAAGTAAATTCTCTCAAAAAATTATGCAGTCGCTTCTGCTTATTAGAGGCCAACAGTCGCCAAAACAGGGGTCTCTGTAATATAACTCCAGTTACTACCTTGATAGACAAGATCTCTGGGTGCTATATATAAGCAGATAGACAGTATGGCCACTATTTAAACCAGAATCCAAACACTCAGATTCTGTCAGTCATTAGAATCAAAGTAGACACTTCACTTGCTGACAGTCTTTCCACTTTAATGGGAGAGAGACACATTATTGGATTGTTGTCACTTTATGTTATTTTTTCAGGATTAATTTAGTTTTTAAGCTTTAATACTGCATTTCACACAGAATTATAGACTGACATACAAATGTTAATATAACAACAATTGACCCTACAGGCATCTACAAATTCCGATCTATCAATGGCTGTCAACATGCCTAAGTACTAACAGCAAACTTGGCATAAGAAGTATTTCAGAATTTGTTAAACATGTTGAAAAATATTGCTTTTTCCATCCACTCTCTACAGCTGTAGGTTCCCTCATCATATTTAAGCCTGATTTTGGAAAGACTCTATAGGGATTGCCTCAGAAGTTTCTCATCCTACTTGCTCCCATGGATAAATTTAATCCAGTTTTGCACTGGAATAAGCCCATATGATTTGGTTTATATATTTTATGATATCTTACACAGCTATGCATCTCCACAACAATATTTGCAAATAGAAAGCAGACTCTTCTCAACAGGTACAAGTGACAGTTTTAGCAAATGACTCAAATATTTGACAAACTGAAGTATCAGCCTTCCTTGATGAAAACTAGAATGAATTAAGAGTAATGAGCTGCCTAACAGAGTTTAGATGGTCTTGCTTAGCATCAACTTCTATAAGCTTTCTGGAGGTCTGATCCAATTCTTTAAACAGTCTGTTATTTCCTTCATCCCCAAAAGACAAAGGAATACCTCAGGAGGTTAAAAAAATGGCCTGAGGCCTTCCTGTGTGAAGAACAAAACTGTTTTGAAAACAACCAGACAGTGCTTCAACCAAAAGAAATTCTTGAAAAAGAGGGCTAAGAGCTCTGGTGGACGTACCCTTGTATTTCAATAGAAGAAAAACTCTGTTAGGAATATTTCAGGCAAAATGTGTGATTTTTCTTGAAGATGGTTTTGATTAAATTTACATTTAAGAAAATATGCAGTTTTTACAGAATTTTTACTATACTTTATACTATATTTTTCTGTATATATAGAAAAGTTTTTATTCTTTCCTTTAAATACATTCTCTGACAATGAAAAAGTGCTAGAAATTAAGACTGAATTTTTCATGAGAAATCATGGCTGCAGCCGTGACAGAGTGAAACTCTTCACCTGGAACTCTGTCAGGTGGGCCGTAACGTTTTCCTCGAAGTTCTACCTTTTGGAGACAAACTGTGGAGAAGTATTCAAACTCTCTTCCTCAAATCTTCCCTGATGAATACTGAGAAAATTTTAGTTATCTGTGCAGGATCAGGACCAAAAATCTTTAAATGCTCTACAAAAGCTACTAAACAATCATTTTTGTTGTCATTTTTTTTCAGTTGTAGATATGTTCAGAAAGTCTAAAAAAAAAAAAAGATTCTCTACCCCCAAAATTCCTTAATTTTCTCACAAGGCTCTTAAGGAAAAAATAAGAAACTTTTTCTCTAAATTGGCAGGGTTTTTTACAGTGCCAAAGATCAGCAGCAGATATTTAGATATGACAGAAGAGAGGTACAAGTTTTTTGCTTCAGGCTGTAGGATAGCTTACATTTTTCCCCCTCTAATACATATTTTTTTTTTAACAGATTTAAAGTCAAGGCTGCCTTCTAGTAGGACTTATTCAAGATTTATCCTACTTATAAAAAAACACTGCAATTACTATAGACTATCTGATAACTTCCAAGAGATGAATGAGGGGCTCTAGATCAGTTCATAACATGCAGATACATTCCCCACTGGTGATTTCAGCCGTGAGGCGAAGGTCTCCATTTACCATTGGCCTGGGACATCAGTTTCTTTCCAGATAAGCACAGATCATCTCAGTGTGACATAGATAAAGGGCATTTTTCAGTTATGTTTCTGAACAATCTGTTCCACCCACGTTATGCTAATTCTGCCACCCACTTAAAACTTTTTGGTCCAAAATTTTGCATCCTTCTAGTCCTCCTTTTATATTCCTTTATTCATTCCTTCAGCAAGCTGTCTGCCACCTCCCCAGTGTTCACTGAAATTTTTGTAGAGGCTATATCCATAAGAAACAATCATTGCCTACCTCTCTAGTTCAAATTTGACTTCTTTGAAAATGACGTATTGGCCTCTCTAGTCAAGGTGCGGAAGTATGACACCCATGTTAAGCTCAGAACACCTAAAGCAATGTTTCTAATTAGTTTTCTTTTCCAACCATTATCCAAAGTCTCTGCTGACAGTCCTTCATATTACCAGACCTATCTCCAAAGCCAGAAGCAGACACAATGAAGACACAACGGCAGGTACAAGCCCACCTATCACCTAACCAGTAGCACATGCTGTCACATGCTTAATATCCTTCCTCATCTTTCCCATTACTGCCTGATGTTTCATGTGCAAAAAGAGGCTGTCTCCCTACTACAGTTGACCAGCTTTATCACCCTTCCAACTGTGCCAATTGATCATTTTTCCCATGCTGCTTTTCCACTTTTGGAGAGGACTCCTTAGAACCATTTCCTGCATCACTTGATTAGAGAGCTTAACATTCCTCTTGAAAAATCCACTCTGACATCTACCGATTTATTTTGTGTAAGTAAAAATCAGTGATAGCCGGCTGTTGTGTGCTTGTATCACACCTAATGGGCAGACAAATGGCAATACATACTTTCTTTGCACTTCATCACAAGCACAGATGTTTGTACTATAAAATCTTGATACCAAGAACAAATCAATTTTTACTGTAATTTCAGAGTCTAGTGTAAAGGTCATGGCTGATGACAGACTCCAGAATTTGTTGGCAAAAATTATTCTAATAAAATAATAGTCCTGGAATGAGTATCTGTCCTTTTTCTAGGGTGTTGCATTTGATAACTCTGAGTCTGTACAAGATAGATAAATCCAAAAGAAAAGAAATTTAAAGTTACGATGTAATAATTATATTCTTTCATTAGATCTGAAACAGAGTTTGAGCCTCTGTTATCAGTTCATTGAATTCACAAATCCTTATTTAATAAAAGTTAATTTCCAGCTATGTAATTGTCCCCCTTGGACATGTAAGAAAGACAGATTAAATACCTCAGGTAATGATATATGAGTTTAATATTTTAAAGGTATCATTATTATTGAAAGATTTCCTGTACCTGATAAAAATAATTATTTGTCTCTAATAGAACAAAAGATTGGGCTCCACAAAATTGAAATGTTCAGGTTTAATTTATTAATTCTATCGTTTTTAAGCTCTTCACAGGTTACATTAGCCCTCATTTTACTGAGTTATAAGAGGTGGCATTGTTAAATTATTTTTTTTCTGCCTCTTTTTGGCCTTCATAAATACATTAACCTAGCCATATGAGCTGCCTGTCAGATGTAACTTCAGCTTCTGACCATAATAGTCAAGTAGCTGGAATCCTGCTATATATAGACTTTTGATTCTGGCATTTCCTTTATTCTTAAGGACACATACTGGACACACACTTCATGCTGAGTTCAGAAAATGAAGGTTAGATTGAGATCCAAAGAATTATTTTGCTAGGTTACCTTTACAGGTAGAAAAAAAACATACAGCTATTAACATAAGACAAAATTGGAGGTTATCCATCTTTTAAACCCTCCAGTGTTACACAAGCAAGTTGGAAAGCAAATCAGACAGATAACCTACCCTTGCAGCTGTTCGTATATAACACTATTTGAAGAGGGAGTAGCTAAAAATGCAATTCTAAGTGAGGTTTTACCAGTTTATGAAACATCAATAACATTTACCATCATATGAAATCTGCATTTTCCATCTCCTTCTCATAGTAGATGTTTTGCTCATTTTCCTTGGAATTTACACTCTAGAGAGCCCACAACACATTTAAAGTAGTGGCTTAGTGTACCTCCCATCTCAGAATATCAAACTATCTTTTTTTCCCTGTTAAAACAGGCAAGAGTCAGATCTGGACTGTTACTTGTGTTGAGTGGTGGGGTATTTTTCCTCAAGAAGTTTCATTTACTACTCAAGAACAATGACATTATTATTCATGAGAAACAGTTCCTTATTTCCAATTTATTTGCAAAATTCTTGGAAGATACAGCAAGAGCAAAGCAAAAATCACAAGACTGTAGGTGAAGACAAAAAGCGCAATATGAGCAAAGGCTAAGGAAAGACACTTAAATATGTCACTCTGTTTAAGAGCTGGCTTAGACCCATTATAATCCCGCCTAGGTCTTGTGACCCTGAAGGGCTCTCCTCACCCTTCCCTGACTGAAAGCAGCAGTTCAGTCAATGGAACCAGTGTGTTTGACTGCACAAACAGTGCCTCCACTACAGGTCTCAGTTCTGATGGCTGGTCAACAAACTCTTCTGGGAAGGTCCATTTTGTGACTATTACAATGATGACTGAGTCAAGAACACAATTTTCAAAAACATGAGTTACTTTATAATTACAAAATGCACAGAAATTTTGACTTATTTTCTACTTACCAGTGCTTGTGGAGTTGTTGGGAAAAGCTTAACCATTCTGTCTTAGCATCATCATTTCAGTATCTATTTTTACTTATGTTCATTTAGCATTCTGTTGCTTCTAGCTTCAGCCCTAGAAAAGTGAACTCATTTCAGACTCTGTAGAGTCAAGTGAAAGGCTTTCTTAGCTTAACAATGGTTTAGGTTGGAAGTGGTCTTAAAGCTCACCCATTTCCACCCCGCTGTCATTGGCAAGGGATACTTCCCACCAGACCAGGTTGCTCCAAGCCCTGTTCCACCTGGCTTTGAACACTTCTAAATGACTCCTCTTAAAAGTATCCGCTTAGCATGTCCTTCACAAAATATTACACAAGGAAATCTCTTCCACCACACACACATAACATTGCATTAAAATATGGGCATTGTCTTGTTTTTCATGCATGTATTCAAATTTTGGAGTTATCAAATTATTATTTGGAGTTATGTGAACCACAGAAGGCACATGAGTGTGCCAGAAAAGGGAAAAGAAAAAATTGGAAAATTATTAGTATCTTTCTTCCAGGTGCCAGAGAATTTCACAGTTCCATTTCAGCAGGACTTTTGAAAATTCAAGGACTTTAAAAAAGGCAATAAAATATTTAAGCAGTAATTGAAAACTTGCCTACCTATGTGTGAACAACATGGATGGATTCCTAATCCGTTCCTAAGCTCAGTCTTTTTAAACTAAACATACACTTGTACAAATTCATGCAAGGAAAGGATGCCTTGTAGAAAGAAATGTAAGAATCATAGAACCATACAATCATAGAATAGTTAGGGTTGGAAAGGACCTTAAGATCATCAAGTTCCAACCCCCATGCCATGGGCAGGGACACCTCGCTCTAAACCATATTACCCAAGGCCTCGTCCAACCTGACCTTGAACACTGCCAGGGATGGAGCATTCACAACCTCCTTGGGCAACCTATTCCAGTGCCTCACCACCCTAACAGGAAAGAATTTCCTCCTTATATCCAGTCTAAACTTCCCCTGTTTAAGTTTTAACCCATTACCCCTTGTCCTACCACTACAGTCCTTAATGAAGAGTCCATCCCCATCATCCCTATATGCCCCCTTCAGATACTGGAAGGCTGCTATGAGGTCTCCACACAGCCTTCTCTTCTCCAGGCTGAACAGCCCCAACTTTCTCAGCCGATCTTCATATGGGAGGTGCTCCAGTCCCCTGATCATTCTCTAATAGTTTTGATTATATCACAGTATCACAGTATCACAGTATGTTAGAGATTGGAAGGGACCTCAAAAGATCATCTAGTCCAATCCCCCTGCCGGAGCAGGAACACCTAGATAAGGTTACACAGGAACGTGTCCAGGCGGGTCTTGAATGTCTCCAAAGAAAGAGATTCCACAACCTCCCTGGGCAGCCTGTTCCAGTGTTCCGTCACCCTCACTGAGAAGAAGTTTCTTCTCAGGTTTAAGTGGAACCTCTTGTGTTCCAATTTGTACCCATTTCCCCTTGTCCTTTCATTGTTTGCCATTATATAGCTGTGTTGTGGACGGAATGTACAACCCTTTGTAGATTCTATATTGGTAAATTCTCAAAGCTTTGATACAAGGATACACAGCTCTAGTTGCACACAAGAGAAGCTATGATACTCAGAAATTCTGAATCCTTGAGTCTCTTATTCTTAATAAGGTCTGTCATAGTCCAGTGATAAATGTCATAGGAAAGCTTCAAAGTAAACAAATCTTAAATTGCAATGAACTATACAAAGCCAGGTGATTTTATTTTGCTCCTAATTTAATCACAAAACTAATTACCTCAGAAAGTGAAATAATCATTGTTTCAGAATGACTGCAGTGGGAAGAAAGGAATGAAAGGAATGAAACAAAGGAATAATCGTTGTGCTTCAGTATCCATGCTTATACACTGCTTGGATACTCTAAGAGCATCTTGCAAAAAACTTCTGCATTCTACCAGATTGCATTCTTCCAAGAAGAGCAAACATAGATCTGGCCACATTTAAAATGTATTACTGGCAAAGGAGAAGAAAGGAGTACTGATAGTAACTGCATTCAGTGAGTTCTGAATTCAGCAGCAGAAAAGCACATGCTGCTCACTGAATGTTGGTACCAGTCTATTTTAGGGGACAATTCTCTGGCATCAAGCTGTATGTTCAGTCAATGGGAACAAAGTTAGTCTTGAGTAATGATGAAGCAGAAAAGAGACATAGTGGAGAGAAAATAAGGAAGAGAATTGCTTTCTGAAATAAGATAATTGCAGAAGGTGAATAGATTAAAACTTCTGCCCTTAATTCACAAATGGAGCAGTACAGAAAAGTTAATTCCTTCCACTGGGGAGAGGGAGGGAATGAAATCACTCAGTAAACTTGTACAGCACAAGCTACAGCAGTTGTAAATACCAAATGTAAGTAAATATGCTTCACTTTCATTTTTTGAATAACAGATTTCCTATTTGTTTCATGATAATTATAGGTAGTAGGGTGGCAACATTAAGAAGTTTATTAAGCCATGGCAGGCATAGCCTGGAGGATGGCATGCCAATTGGAAATGTCAGAAGCCATGTGCTCCATACTCCTGTGATTTAAATCTCTGTTATGTATCTCATGTTCAGTGCTGTTACAATTAATTTTCATAAATAGGTGCAATCCATCTGTCTTCAGTCTCATTTTTAAAGAAATTCTGACATGAAAATTTGGATATATTTTTATAATCCTCTCTACATGTATTTCCATGTATAACATGCATTTCCTCCCTGCCCTCTATTTTTGGTTCTAATTTTCACCCTTGCTGCTAAGCAGCACATCTATTAAAAACAGTCTCAGAGGGAAAGTTAATTTGAACTCAATTTGTAAATATTAAGTTAAAAATGCAATTAATCTAATATTTTGAAATGGAAAGGGAACATCTCAAATACTGATTGTCTTCTTTATGAAAGTGTTTGAGACACCATAATAATTTGCATTAGGAGATATTTTTTAAATCATATATTTCAATCAACAGTAATTTTTGAAAATTATCTAAACTTGTTTTAAAAAATGAGTTGACACTACATGCCTCAATTCAGGTGTAAGAGCAGAAGAGTTTTGACTGATCCTGAAACTATCTTTTTTCTTCCTTTATTTTTCCGTACTGCCATCAAACTGAAGGGATTTCTTTCTTCCTCTTCTACTGTATTGTGTTGATCTGCTCTTCCAAACTAGAGCAGGGGGACCTACCAGTAGAATATTTATTTGAGGAAGCTGTTAGGCAAAGAGAGGGAAGCAGCAAAAAGCAAATAAGCAATAGCTCTCCTGACATCCTCAGTCTGCATAATTCCTGATACTTAAAATTTGAGATCAATATTTTTAAAGGTAGTAATTCTCAGTGGGAATGTTACACCTAAACAAACTTTTAAATTGGTCTCTGTTGTAGCTAAACATGGGAGCAGATGCTTTTTATTTCAGTCATGGGATTTCCTAGTCAGGAAGCAAGTGGTTCCACTCCATTTCTCATGTAGATCTCCTGTACAGAAGAGTTTTTACAGGCTTGATGTACTGAAATCACTGTTCACACACAGAAGAACTGATTTGCAAATATATATATTCAGAAATTATTTTCAGAAAGAATATACAATTTGTACATATTGTACACCAATGCGCGCAGCATGGGAAATAAGCAGGAGGAGCTAGAAACCTGTGTTAAGTCAAGAGATTATGACCTGGTGGCAATTACAGAGACGTGGTGAGACAGCTCACATGACTGGAATATAGTCATGGAGGGCTATGTCCTTTTCAGGAAAGATAGGCCAGCCAGGCGGGGTGGTGGGGTTGCTCTTTATCTGCGAGAGCAGCTACAGTGCGTTGAGTTCTGTCCGGGGACAGATGACGAGCAAGTTGAGAGTCTGTGGGTGAGAATTAAGGGGCAGGCTGGCAGGGGCGATACTGTTGTGGGGGTCTTTTACAGGCCACCGGATCAGGGTGAGGAAGTTGACGAGGCCTTCTACAGGCAGCTGACAGCGGCCTCACAGTCACAGGCCGTGGTTCTTGTGGGGGATTTTAACTTCCCTGATGTTTGCTGGAAGGACTACTCAGCAACACAGCCACAGTCCAGGAGGTTCCTCCAGTGTATGGATGCTAACTTCCTCATGCAAATGGTGGATGAGCCAACTAGGAGAGGAGCGCTGCTGGATCTCATCCTCACTAACAAGGAGGGTCTGGTTGAAGGAGTGAAGGTTGAGGGCTGCCTTGGTTGCAGCGACCATGAGATGGTGGAATTCAGGATCTTGTGTGGTAGGGCCAGTAGAATAGCAAGTAGAATTGCAACCCTGGACTTTAGCAGGGCAAACTTTGGCCTCTTCAAGCAATTGCTAGGGGAAATCCCATGGGCTAGGCTGCTTGAAGGTAAAGGGTCCCAAGATAGTTGGTTGATGTTCAAGGACTGCTTTTTCCGAGCTCAAGATCAGAGCATCCCGACACGTAGGAAGTCAAGGAAGAGGGTCAGCAGAGCTGCGTGGTTAAATAGGGAATTGCTGGGTATGCTCAAGTGGAAGAGTTTACAGGTCATGGAAGGAAGGGCTGGCCACTTGGGAGGATTATAAGGCTGTTGCTAGAGGATGTAGGAAAGCTGCTAGGATGACTAAGGCCTCCTTGGAATTAAAGCTGGCGAGAAGGGTCAAGGACAGCAGAAAGAGTTTTTTCAAATACATGGCAGATAAAACTAACACCAGAGGCAATGTAGGCCCGCTGATGAACGGGACGGGTGCCCTGGTGACAGAAGATGCAGAGATGGCAGAGTTACTTAATGCCTTCTTTGTCTCTGTCTACTCTGCCAGAGGCAGTCCTGAAGAGCCCTGTACCGCTGAGACCTCAGATGAAGACAGGTCAACGGAGTGGTTTCCCTTAGTCGATGAGGAATGGGTTAAAGACCAGTTGAGCAATCTGGACATCCATAAATCCATGGGTCCAGACGGGATGCGCCCGTGGGTGCTGACGGAACTGGCGGAGGTCATTGCTAGACCGCTCTCCATCATCTTTACCAAGTCTTGGGAAACGGGAGAGGTGCCTGAGGACTGGAGGAAAGCAAATGTCACTCCCGTCTTCAAAAAGGGCAAGAAGGAGGACCTGGGTAACTATAG